TGTTGGCCTTTGATAAGTATGACGGTGTTCTAACATTTGGCGGAGGGTGAAGATATGATCAATACATCCTCGACCCGAACGAAAACCAGCCTGCTCCTCGCGAGTCAATCTTTCTCGGGTTTTGAACAACCTGCGAAGTATAACGGAAGCCAATAGCTTGGACGCAATCGGAAGTAGACTTATCCCCCGATAGTTGTTACAGGAACGACGTGAACCCTTTTTAAATATAGGGACAACTATCGACTCATTCCATGACGTTGGTACACTCTCTAGTTCCCAGACCTTTGCAAGCAATGTCGTCAGTTCCTTAGCCAGGAAGTCACCACCATCTTTACAAAGAGCCGGAGGTAAGTCATCTGGGCCCCGTGATTTGTAACGTTTCTAAAGTTGGAGTTCCTTGAGGACTCCTGCCTTATTTGGTGGATCAGTCGTCACCGGACATGGAGGGCAGGATAGTCTGACCGATGTTGCAGGAGCAGCAGGCCAGTTGAACTGCCCTTCGAAAAATTCTGTCCATCGTCCAAGACGTCGATGGATGTTCATGATTGGCATCCCGTCATCCTCGCAGATTATCTCGCACACACCAGACTTCTTGCTGTCAGTGGCTCGGATGAGTTAGAAGAGCTGCCTCAGCTCTAGCGCTTAGTCCGACACCAACGCCAGCAAGGCCAGATGACGATGCCACAGGGTCCCCGGATAAACGCACGTAGAACACGCTTTTTGAAGTGACAGATGGAGAGCGAACTTGTAGTACTTCACCAGAGTCTTGAATACGGGTCTCGGATAGACAACAAACGTCAATATTAAGACTTTCCAAAGACATAGACAGCCCTATCTGTTGTCCGACCTGTATAAGTGTGAGAACGGTAAAGGCAGCCAGTTTGAATGGTGCACGTGGTTTCAGAAAAACTGCTTCAGTATTCTTATTCGGTGGTAGCATACAATTTTTATTCAGGCAGTGACTTGAGAACGTTTAGATAGAGCCGAATTCCCACAATGGGCGAGCTGCTGTATAAGTCGAAAAATAAGTATACACATACCTCTAACCTTACTCGAAATTATCCTCCCCACAACCGAATTCCGTTTTAATTACCAATATTTCTATTTTTACCACCAAAATCCACCTTTCTTCGTCCCCTCCCCGTGCTACCACTGCTAACATTTCGACGAAGAGTAAGACTTGAATATGGTTAACCCTAATAAACTGATGATAGAGATGTTGGAGTAGATATAAAAAGCTACTTTTGTGAGCTGTTAGCATCATATACGGACATATTAATCACAGATCTAGGCAAATCGTATAGATCGGGAAACAAAATACTTGGAAGTGATAAGCATTCTTAGTTGACGTAGAAAGAACTTGCGTACCAAGAGCCTTGGTGTATGAGTTATATGCCGTAAAAGGCATTTCTAAGTTTTCGCATAAAAATAATCTACATGTTTAACTTTTGAATAAGTTTTTGTTACTATCTTCACAAATAACACATGTGACTGACTTTTTGAGTGTAATACATAAACTCACCTCTACCTATATTAATATGCAAAAAAATGTGTTCAACTATTTATTTTCAGAACTTGTTAAACAAGAATTTCTTTGCCCGAAACGTCTATAAATTGGCAAGACTAAAAAGCTTTGCTATTCTGAATACACTTTAGAATCGCACAGTATTCATTTTCAACCACATATTAACAGCAGCACACTACAACAAAGACTTATATGGTATATGTCTGATAGATGTTTAGCCCTCAAATGCCTTGGTACGGCCGAGAGTGGGAAGAGTCAGCTCTCCCTCTCGAAGTGCTCTCAAACGGCCACGTGCATGCAACCACTACCAGGTAAGTCCTACTAACTGCCTTTTCGCGGCTGGGGTCTTGTTTACAAAAGCGAGTGTCCGGCGCTTTAACCTGGTCGGTAGATACGGTGTCCACAAAGAGGAGTTGAAAAACAATGGTACACACGGGCTCCAGGACCCTAAGGAAACAAATGGCGTATGAACCAATTTTTGGTCATCGGTTGCCATAGGACTGCATCTCCTGACGTTGCTCCATTGCCTTGTGGATCAGACCTTTGAATCAAAGGCTCAGGGTATGGCCTCCTGATAAAATCACCTCCTTCAGTTTGGGCACCCGTGAAGTATCCCAGCCCTCACATAAATTGAATGATTTATGTGGCGCATATATGTTTGGCGCCTCCTTGTACCAATGTTTATGTGTAAACAAACTAATGACAAGCTAAATGGGAAGCTTTCGGGTGATATTACCACACACAACTGGAAAATTTCATCTAATAAGGTTTTTTGGATATGCTAGGGTTATTAAAGACTGGATTTTTTCATTACATAAACATAAGCCTGTGCCCGTAAAAACTACAGTCAATAAATTCGCTAACTATAAATTATCTTTTATTAATGATAGTTCTGTTACACGCTAGGCTATACAAAGGGACAAGAATTGTATACTAGAAGACCTAAGTAATATAATGATTCAAGGAAATTGTTCAATATAAGTTAGGTCGTTTTCAGATAACATCAATAAAATATTTATTCTGGTTGAATTCAAAAGTTATTAACTTTGAAGTGGCATTTGAACCTTACTTTAAAGTTCTTTTACATTTGCTCTTCATGAAGTGCTAGACATATATGTAACTAAAATAGACTATACTACACAGGATTCCAGGACCACATGTCTGAACTTCAATCATGCTGTATGTAATTAAATGCAAGGGGTCCTCAGCTCTAAGGCGGAAACTTCAAGGTGATACATACGAAATAATTAGTCAAAAAAGACAAGGATGTTCATTAGATTGACATGACATTCAAACAGTTGTAATATTTTATTAACAAATTAAACCAAAGATGTAGAAAGATCGGTAGATTTCTGGAGCCCCTAAAACTAGGTAACTAGTACTTTCGTACACTTTCACAGTGACGTATACATTCACGTATAAATTCGCGTGTAGCAATACACACCTGTAGAACAGCCACCAAAAGGAGTAAACGTAAAACATAGTCAACAGTGATGAATATAAAGTATATCCGATTTACTATGAAGATCTTTTGGAGGGTGTTACAAATGTCAAGACAAGATATATATAAAACACAGCTCTACGTGGTTTATTGAAATGTTTGCAACGAATAGGAAATACATTACTACTATCAAACAAGCTTCATATACACATGTAGTGGGTTTTGTATAAGGAAGTGTCACAAAGTACGCATACGGATCGAGAAAATTAGATTTTGGAGCGTGGTATGGAGATAGGAGCAACTGTTGAATCTCGCAATTGTCAAAGTTATTTCAACACATTCGATCCATTAACAACAAAAAGCCCGGTGTGAGCGAAACAATCTGTGTGGTTGATAAAACGATAACTAGAAACATCTAACGACCTCTTGGACGATGAGTGGTCCAGCTGGCCTGTTGCCTCAGTAACATTGGTTAGTTTGTTCACTCCTTGACTGATGACGAGGCGGTCTGTAAAGAACTCTAACTTTCGAAGTATCACAGGTCAACAGACTCAGACAGACCTGCTTCGGTTTTGGCACTCACACAGTATCACAACCCACACACAAACCAAGTGACTTGTGTGACGCATATGTATTTGGTGCCCCTTTGTGCCATTATTTATGTGTTCAAATAAAATCAACAGCTCTTTTCAGGAAGGACGGTAGCCTTCTGATCAGGGAACCAACTGAATTATGGGGGTCTAAGAAAAGTCGTGGAGGAGAAGACTAACTTTTCTATCGTTAAAAAGCCCCTGCGTCATCTATACAGCAAGCATCGGCACCCAACCGTTAAATGTAGTGAAAGCTTTCAGATCGTGCATTATTTCCTAATGCTAGGACTAGTTGGAAAAAGTGGACAGGTGGTCAGTTTGCGGTGTTGTGTTACGAAAGCTAAATAGGAATGAGATCCGTCGGTCCCTCACGACTCCTTTGTTGGAATCCTAGTGATAGTGCAACACAGTGGCTTGAGACGTTATCAGAAATGGCTCAGAACAGAAGCCAGTTGCAGTACTGCATCAGCTTTCCCTTACTTAATATGTGACAGGAACTTAGATTCTATTTGACTGTCTTCTCAACTTAACTACTTCCCCCACCATATATCACTCTCATTCGCTTTGCTAATTTGTTCATTATACCCCTCCCGTAATTCTTCGTGGTCTTTGTTTTCGTAATGCACAAATTTAATTTGGTACTCGTTTGTACTGATGTTTATGTGCTTAAGCAAATAAACGCCGAATAGATTTCGAGTCGTCTGCGCTAGTTGTTTGGTAGGAGACTAATACAGCTTCTACTGACCAAAGATGCTATTAGGTGTTTCACCTTATGGTATTGAGAAACGCTAATTACATAAAACGAAAATACAAGATACAATTGGAATACGAGCTCATTTATGGATCTTGAATAGTAACTAACTCTTCATATTGTCATTAACCTCGTGGCCAATGTGATCAACGCTGAAGCCCTATTTCCTCAAATACGTAATCTGAAGTGAAGACAACTTGTGTCAAACTTATGCAAACAACTGAGAGACTAGTGAACTAAGAAAAATATTATACACAAGGATGTCATACTACAGAAGCATGTAATTAAACCGGATCCAAACGGTTAACGAAAATAATACGTTCACTGATACACCTTAATATATATATATATATATATATATATATATATATATATATATAATTGCAGTCTAATTGTGGGCTATTTATTGACCACAAATGTATTTACGCATCATTGGGCCGCGTTTGTTTAACTAGAACTCGAAATAAGAGATTCTAAAAGTGAAACAATCCTCTTTTATAATATGTGTGAGAATCAGAAAGTGATGTGGGGTTTTTTAGACGCACTTGAGCTCGATTACCATTTACTTAACTTACAAAACCTACTTCATAAATCTTTCTAATGACATTTTGTCCCATTAGAGACCCATAGTTTTCTGGATTAAAAACTTACAGCATAAGGTGAAAGTGAATTATTAAACAAACAATAAACTACCTGGGGCGTATTCGACATATTTCGCGCGGACAAATTTCCCACGTGCTCAGCTGTAGGGGTAGATTAAACACAATTTGTAACCCTGAACATCTATGATTTCACAAACATGTATGCCCATCAATTATATCGCAAGTCAAATTGAAAACAAGCTTTAATTTCATGAATTAGTGATATACTGCCGTTTCAGGTTGTGATTTATCACATCTCTGATTTCAAAAGGTTCAAATGGTTGTGGACGGAATCGAAGAAGCTTTCGCTTAACAGGCTTCCATGCCTAGCATTTGACAACTCTTAAGGAGTAGAAATTGTGTCTGCAGTCCGTTCTACTATGTTGTATCTCTAACTTCTGGGTTCAAATGGTTCAAATGGATGTTACCCCTTAGGTAAGTATTGGGACTAAGCTTAAGTATGTGTTTAAGAGGATGTCCAGGTGTGTTATAGATACTGTAAGCCATTAGAAGGTCACCTCTAAGACGCCTATACTCTAATGGGTAAAGGTCGAGTGATTGGAGGCGCTCATCGTAAGGTTTAAATTCGAGTCCCCGAAATAATTTCGTGGCTCGCCGTTGGATACGCTCAAGAGTGTCCTTATCCTTTTGGAGTGTAGGAGGAAATACTATGTTTCCGTACTCTAAATGGCGACGAATGAAACTATTGAATATTATGTGGAAAGTTCTCCCGTCAAAATGACCAAACATGCGCTTCCATGTTGCCAGTGCAAGGTTTGCTCGAAAGGCATTTCTGTCACAGTTGGCGTAAGACTTTAAGTCGTAAGGCACCAGAACTCCTAAATCTTTTTCGAATCGGGATACTACTAGAGAGGAGTTTCCTAAGTTGTAACTGTAATCTGCGACGTGTCGCAGATGGACTACTTTACACTTTGAAGTGTTAAAGGTAAGTCCGTTATCGTCTGCCCAACTTTGAAGTCGAGTCAGATCCCCCGAAGTGCCTGTATGTTATCTTGGTTGCGTATCTCTATCCAAAGTTTCACGTCATCGGCAAAGAACAATAAGACTGACGTTACCTGTTGAGGAAGATCATTTATATAAATCAGGAAGAGAAGAGGTCCTGATACTAAGCCCTGGTGGTCCCCACTAGGACATTCCATAGCGTATGAGAAATTGAAGTTCACCCTGACCTTAAAATGTCGATTTGTCAGATATGAACTGAGCCAGTCAATTAGAGGTGGTATGATATCCAATTGTCTGAGCTTGTTAATAAGACAGGTGTGGTTAACCCTATCAAAAGCTTTAGAGGAATCAAAGTAAATGATATCCACCTTCCCCTTGTAGCAGGTTGGTCATACAGGAGTAACCCTTCCTGAAACCATGCTGTTGAGGTGAGAAGAAATTTAAGGACAGCAGATAGTCGTGCATACCATCGAATACCAGAGACTCCATGATCTTTGAAGGTATAAAGATAAGAGCGACCGGTCGGTAACTTGAAGGTTTGCTGCGTCGACCTCCTTCGAAAATTGGTGTGATTTGAGCCAGCTTCCAATTTTCCAGTGGTTCGCCTCGACTTAGCGAGTGTGAGAACATCACGCTGAGCGGTGTTGCCAGGATTGAAGCTGCTTCCCTCAGTATAGCAGAGTGGACCATATCTGGACCAGGAGAAGTGTCTGTTCTTAGGTGTTATAGTTTACGGAACACCAAGTCAGCACTCAGTTTCACTACGGAAAGTCCTGTGCAGTTGCAGATAGAGCCGTCATCCGTATAGTTTATGTGGGTCGGTTGAAATGTCCGGGAGTATTGCCCAGCCAGGAGGTCAGAGGCGTCACCGTCATTATCGGTCGGGCCGTTAGGACCTAGCAGTTGAGAAACTCCGGTTTTGGCTTGACGAAGAGAGGCTGCGTAACGGAATAAGCTTTTCGGATTGGAAATAAATTTATCCATAAGCTTTAACTGGTACTGGAGCCTGTCTTCTTTTATAGCTTTCGTACATATGTTTCTTCTATGTTTGTATTGCCTGTACGCGCTGTTGTTGTCAGTTCGTTTGTATTCTGCCTCACAATGTCTTTTGCAGCTTAGCAAACGAAGAGTGTGGTTTTTGATGATTGTAGGTTGCATGTGGCTTTTGGGGACCATTTGAAGGACTGACTGCTTTGTAGCACATAAGAGCGTATGAATTAGGAAGTTCCGGTAAGCATCCACATCAAGTTGAGGGTGAGTGGTAAGGACAGAATGCCCACGACATGTGTTAGTTTCTTTCTAGCAAGATTCTGAGAATGTCTGCTCCACTCTTTGATCAGTCAATTGAAGGGGAGCGCTTTACGAACGGGATGTTTAGTTCTAACGTGGTTTGCATTTCTCAAACTTTTGCTGTGTTCTTACGCAACAAAAGTACCTTTTCTGATCTAAATAATATATTCTGAGCTATAAGTTTGGTAGATTACTTTTTTTGAGTTTCGCTCCATTTCGATTGTTAACTGTGGTTTTGCCTCAGCTTAATATTCGGTTTTTTTCAGTTTTTTCACGTAAAGGCTAGTTCATTTTATCTCATCCGTTTTTATACATTTTTCCCATTTTTAGTGTGCTTTGATGTGTATTTTTAACGTCTTAAGCTTTGATACTATCTCTAACACAGCTTACGTCAATACAGCCATGAAAAATTCATGCAAACGACCTAGATGCCGTTTTGCTGTTACATCTGGCATGCAGTGCGACAACTGCAAAGGTTGGTCACACGAAACATGCACAGATCTTACGTAAACTGCTTACAAGAGACTCAGCGAATCGGAGGCCATAAAAGAAGACAGGCTCCAGTACCAGTTAAAGCCTCTCTTCGTCAAGCCAAAACGGGAGTATCTCAACTGCTAGGTCCTAACGGCCCGACCGATAATGACGGTGACGCCTCTGACCTCCTGGCTGAGCAATACTCCCGGACATTTCAACCGACCCACATCAACTATACGGATGACGGCTCTATCTGCAACTGCACAGGACTTTCCGTAGTGAAACTGAGTGCTGACTTGGTGTTCCGTAAACTATAACACCTAAGAACAGACACTTCTCCTGGTCCAGATATGGTCCACTCTGCTATACTGAGGGAAGCAGCTTCAATCCTGGCAACACCGCTCAGCGTGATGTTCTCACACTCGCTAAGTCGAGGCGAACCACTGGAAAATTGGAAGCTGGCTCAAATCACACCAATTTTCGAAGGAGGTCGACGCAGCAAACCTTCAAGTTACCGACCGGTCGCTCTTATCTCTATACCTTCAAAAATCATGGATTTCCTGATATACGATGGTATGCACGACTATCTGCTGTCCTTAAATTTCTTCCCACCCCAGCAGAATGGTTACAGGAAGGGTTACTCCTGTATGACCAACCTGCTACAAGGGGAAGGTGGATATCATTTACTTTGATTCCTCTAAAGCTTTTGATAGGGTTAACCACACCTGTCTTATTAACAAGCTCAGACAATTGGATATCATACCACCTCTAATTGACTGGCTCAGTTCATATCTGACAAATCGACATTTTAAGGTCAGGGTGAACTTCAATTTCTCATACGCTATGGAATGTCCTAGTGGGGTCCCCCAGGGCTCAGTAATTATTATAATAATAACAGTATATTTCTGCATGAGCAGGTACACGTCATTTTTACAGGCATGATCTACAAATTACAACATTTGTTAAAGCATCATAGCATGCTTCTCAACTTATTAAGTTTATAGTTGTTATAAAGTAGTCTCGTAGAACGCTTGTTATAAACCATGGCCTTGTATTGACGCATACTTCAAGTTGGTTCCAGGCGTTAGAAGTTCCATAGCTGTGCCTTCGGAGAAAGATTCTGAAGAAAATAAAAAAGGGAAACAGAAGCGCAGCAAGGCACTTGGATTTGGACTCCAAACGTTGCTTAACATTACGTAGTAGAACAGACAGAGGTATAATAAATTAGATTAAACTCATATTATCTCTTGTTAGAGAGAAATGAAGTCAGAGGCTCCATTTAAGAGAATGTATTAATAAAGAACAATGAATTGTGATGATTAACAAGTTGGAGTAAGCTCACAAGAAGGAAGAGAAGTCAAAGTTGGTACAAGGAAAGCTGTTTATTAGAAGGGAGTATGCATATAGAGGGTGAAGTGTTGAGAATATTAATAACCATATCTTTTATTGTCTGATTTTTTCTTTCTTTTCTTTTTTGTCCATCCGATGCCAGCCACACAATCCTAGTGTAAAAGTCCGAGTTAGCATGTTATAGGTTGTCTTAGTAGAATAGCCAATCCAGTATAAAATTGGAAACATGAGTCTGAGTAGTGAGCGTAGGAAGACAATCTATATCACAGATTGATTGTCTTATGCTCAATCAAAGAGAGCCTGATACATACAAAATGTTCTGCCCCAAAAACACGGTTGGATTGAAGTCATCGCCTTCCTTAAGAGTTGTCAAGTGCTGGAATTCGCTGCCAGCTGAGCTAGTCCAAGCGACTTCGCATGTGTATTTTAAGATGCGACTTGATCTATTCTTAAGGACTAACGATAGTATCTTACTATGATTTACCAATTTATTTTTTTCTCTTTTATCGTTAATATACCTAGGTTCTTGCCTGGAGGTATTGGTGATCCCCTGATACTAGGCATGGAAGTCTGTTAAGCGAAAGCTTCTTCTATTCCGTCCACAACCATCTGAATCTATACTTCAGGTAGCAGGCTCCAAAAAGGAGGACTGAGTGTGAAAACCTGTAAGTCTTGTGGAACCCTACTAAGTACATTTTTCCAGAAGAAGCACTTGGAATTCATCTTTACTTTCCGTCTACGACCTACCAAGGGATCCGTCAACCATTTAAAGGGGGGTGCGGCAATACCTAGATTTTCCAGCCACAACGTTAGTCTATTTTTTGACACCTTATCAAATGTTTTGCTGAAGTCTATATGAACGATATCCACTGATTTACCATTATCTATCTGCAACTCTCTTGCTATGGGATTTGTTGTATAAAGTAAACCTTTTCTGAAACCATTATGTTCCTTGTATAAAAAGTTCCTGGTTGCCACGAGTGACATTGGTAA